AAAATGGTATTCTTTCTTTAACAGGAGAATTATACAAAGGAGATAAATTTAAACTTTTGTCTTCTTGTTTCAATTTTGATAATAATGTACTATATAGCATTAATCTGATTCTTCTTACTTCCCTATGAGAATGACATATAATTAAAACTTTAACGCACCTTCCTCCTCTTCTCTGCTCTACACCTCCCCACTCACCCTTCTAAGTTTCCTTGCCTGCTTCTCTTTTGCAGTCAAAATTGCTTTCTCCTTTACCTCCTGAGCAAAACTGTAAATTTAAAATGGAAAAATGAAGAGTTTAAACAGCTTCACCTGAAATGGTGGCTTGTCATGACTAATCCAGAATCAGTTTATGTTGTAAACCTGTTTCTCAAAATACAATGTACACTGAAGCAGATCATGAAGTTCATTTTTCAGATTCTGTTTCTTCAGAACAAATCACCTCAGTTCTATTTTCCTCCCAGCCCACCTTGCTTTACTATTTTAAAATTTTTGTCATCATTCTTCCATTGTTTGGGGCTGAAATCTACAGAGCTGAAACCACGCTGGGTGTGCACGTGCAGCAGAGCGGGGAGCTTACGAGAGAAGGTTACACAGAATGTTCTTGTGTCACACCTCCATACTGCAGGAAGCCACGTTCAACTTCTCCACTCTTGGAACATCATGAAGGTCACTCCACGATGTAATACCAATCTGACGTCTCTACCTTCCAACTTTAGCTTTCCTGGGGGCTCAGACAGTGAAAAATCTGCCTGCAAGGCAGGAGACCTTGGTTTGATCCCTGGGTTGGGAAGATCCCCTGGAGAAGGGAACAGCTACCCACTCCAGTATTCTTGCCTGGAGAATTCCATGGACAGAGGAGCCTGGCAGGCTACAGTTCATGGGGTCGCAAAGAGTCGGTCACGACATAGTGACCTTCACCTTTCAAAGAGGATGGTAAATATGTAATTATACAGTTAGTGGCCCTGCTGCCTGTGATCTTGTCACTCGGGAGCAATGCTGTGAGTGCAGCTTCATACTGGGCACTTTCTAGATGACACTTCTTTTCAGATTCAAGACAAATATTTGCTGTTCAGTTGCTCCACCATGTCCAACTCTTTGCAACCCCGTGGACGGCAGCACTCTGGGCTCCTCTGTCCTTTACCATCTCCTGAAGTTTGCTCAAACTTACGTCCATTGAGTTGGTGATGCTGCCCAACCATCTCATCCCATGTCATCCCCTTCCCCTCTTGCCTTCAGTCTTTTCTAGTATCAGGGTCTCTTCCAGTGAGCTGGTTCTTCACATCAGATGAAGAACACTTTTTCAGCATCAGTCCTTCCAATGAATAATCAGAACTGATTTCCTTTAGGATTGACTGGTTTGATCTCCCTGCAGTCCAAGGGACTCTCGAGTCTTCTCCAACACCACAGTCCGAAAGCATCAATTCTTTGCCACTCAGTCTTCTTTATGATCCAACTCTCACATCCACTCATGACTACTAGAAAAACCATAACTTTGGCTATACAGATACAAAACAAATCTGCCAGGTTGTTATTGATAGTCTAATTTTGTTGGAAAGGAAACAAAGTCTGAGACATTAAGTATTAAAGCTAAGGTTTCAACTCGGCTCCCCTTAGTTTATAAAACTTCTTGGTCTTTCTAGTTCAATTCAGAAGCACTTAAAAATAAGAGTGGAAAAACAAAAATCTAACATTCCTCACTGTTTTATTATAATAAAACTCTAATGTATAGAATCTCCAGCTATCATAAATATATCAGTTCAGTTCAGTCACTCAGTTGTGTCCGACTCTTTGCAACCCCATGGACTGCAGCACACTAGGCTTCCCTGTCCACCACCAACTCCCTGAGCTTGCTCAAACTCATGTCCATCAAATCAGTGATGTCATCCAACCATCTCATCCTCTGTCATCCCCTTCTCCTCCTGCATCAGGGTCTTTTCTAATGAGTTAGTTCTTAGCATCAGGTGGTCAAAGTATTGGAGTTTCAGCTTCAGATTCAGTCCTTCCAATGAACATTCATGACTGATTTCCTTTAGGATGGACTGGTTGGATTTCCTTACAGTCCAAGGGACTCTCAAGAGTCTTCTCCAACAACACAGTTCAAAAGCAGCAATTCTTTGGTGCTCAGCTTTGTTTATAGTCCAACTCTCACATCCATATATGACTACTGGAAAAAATATAGCTTTGACTAGATGGGCCTTTTTTGGAAAAGTAATATCTCTGCTTTGGAATATGCTGTCTAGGTTGTTATAGCTTTTCTTCCGAGGAGCAAGCATCTTTTAATTTTAATTTTACTGTAAATACAGTAAATTTTTTACTGTAAATTTTACTGTAGCCTCACTGAAAATGGATGCTCATTTTAGAGAAGTAGTCAGTTATCTGGAAAAAACTTGAGATGATTGTTTCCATATAGCCAAAGGAATCATTTCACATGAGACTAAATTCTATTGTTTCCTATTTTAATAATAACCTTTTTTTTAATTAGTATTTCAGAATATTTATTTTATTCCTTTCTTACCAGTGTTTTAGACTAGAAATCCCTAGTGCTTTAGATTAGAAATCCCTAAAGAAATAAGTAAGAATGAATAAAATCTGAGGGGAAGGGGGAAGAGTATTTTACTTGTGAAACTAGGCCTTCAAGTTAATGGAAATTAAAATTATAGTCTTCAGTTGTGTGTTGGCTGTCGGCTTGAACCTCAATGGGAAAACAGCTTTGAAATTTATGGCAAGGCTCCATATTCAGAATAGGAATAGAGCTGGGGTATAATGTCTTATTCTGTTTCCTCCTACAGTTTATATTTGAAATGTTTTTTATACAATTATGTATTTTATATAAATGGCCTTTCATGTTACAGATCTTAGTTACCATAGAAATGGAATCTCTCTGAAAAGAACATTATAGAAACTCAGATTGGAAGATTAGTCTTCCTAAACAATTAGCTGATTCATTTGATTTTCTAGTGATGAATAGTTGGGGATTTTTTTCTTTTTCCCTTCTCTGGGGGAAAAAAAAATCTAGCTTATCGATATTTAAAACATTTCACTTGGAGGTAAATTTACAGGTTCATGAATGATTTTGGTCTGACAGTTTTCAAGCTGAGGAAGTTCTGAAAGTGTAGTGTAAATGGAAAAATTCGGAAATTCCAATAATCTATTTGGTGGTGGCAACTTATGGGTATTTTCTATTTCCTTTGTTTCTTCTATTTTGAGCTTTAACACACAAATTAAAAACTGGTGGCCAGGGGCTTGAACAAAACAGAATAGAAATTTTCACTATCACCACTTTCTTTCAGTCTTGTGTTTAGCCTCTCTATGAATTTAATTATCCTTATGGTCTCTAAAGACTTTAGAACCTGGATTCCTGCTAAAATTCATCTCTTAAATCTGATATAATAAATTCATTTAGGTAAAGGAATAAAGGATATAATTGTGATCTATTATTAACACTATTTATGTGTTTAGCACAATGCATGACAGAATTATTACTCAGTAAGTTGTAGCATAATAGTACTAAACACAGGCTTCCCAGGTGACACTACAGTAAAGGATCTGCCTGCCAATGCGGGAGACATAAGAGATGTGGGTTTGATCCCTGGCTTGGGAAGATCTCCTGGAGGAGAAAATGGCAACCCACTCCAGTATTCTTGCCTGGAGACTCCCATGGACAGAGGATTAACAATATGTTTCATGAATATATATCATTAATTTAAGAAGTCTATCTTGTTTAGTCTTTTGGTATAATAATTTGACATACTCCACCATTTTATTATTATACATAAGATTATCTGGTAACTGTTCAGTTGCCCAGGTGTGTCCAACTCTTTGTGACCCATGGCCTGCATCACGCCAGGCATCCTTGTATCGCATACCTGGTAATGCTGCTATGTTATGTCTATAATTCTGCATACAATCTCTATTGCCAATACCTCTCTAGAAGAATAACTAATGCAATATCAAGGTGGTCAGATCTTTCTCTCTTTTTTTAGTCACCATCAGCTTCAGAGATACTAGTTACTTATCACATACGGACAGAAGAATTATAAACAAGAAATATTGACTTTAAAATTCTAGTTTATCTATACATGGCTATTTAATCTGTCCTCCAGAACTGAAGCACTTATATATGTTTAATCATACATAAAACCTAATATAAGATGCCTATGTAGGGGGAAAAAATGAGTAAAAATATCATGGGTAAACTTTCAAACATTTTGTCCCCTGCAAATTTTCTCCCACACTCTTTTAATACATTCATAAAACATGTTACCGAGCCATCCAGATGAAAATACACAAATTTACATGCAGCAAAAGAATGATTCATTGCAACCTCACATAGAGGGGAGAGTAAGCTTTCCAGTCCTTATTTCCCATCACATTCCTTAGAGGAGAAGTCATAACCGGCAGACAGGCATAGAGAGCCCGTAGAGTTGCCCCTTTTTCTTTCAGGGTTTCCACTGCCCTTTCTGAAGAAGGAAATGGCAACCCACTCCAGTATTCTTGACTGGAGAATCCCATGGACAGAGGAGCCTGGCGGGCTACAGTCCAAGGGTTTGCAGAGAGTCGGACATGACTGAAGCGACTAGAAGGAAGTGGTGACTGGGAGGTAAATGCAGAAGCCTGTACCCTGCCCCCACCCTCAGTTCCAAAGAAGAGAGAATGGGGGAGCACAAGGCATTGCCCAGATGCCCACAAGACCCAGAGAGGTCAGTGAGTGTCCCAGGAAGTCAGGCCTGGTCTCTAACTGACTGCTTCCTGTTGTTCTGCTTTGCCAATCATTTCCCGCATTTCCTCTGTGTTACATTCTCCAACTAATCAATTGAATCCAAAGGAAATGTAGACATTAAAAGGTGTCTGAGAGCATATGTCTTTCCCTTCAATCTCTTTTCATTCCTACTTTCCAGGAAAGGCCTGTAAAAAAAATTCTACTTCCTATTCTATATGTTCTTGACTCTACTTGATTATACCTATTGGAGAATGCTTACATTTCATTAAAAAATATTTACCTTTTCCAAAATAAGCTCCCTTATGCACACTTTGAACACCTTTGTATCCCAAACTCCTACAGACGACCAGTCCTCCACGCAGTTCCCAGCGGTCGTCACACACCGTACCCCACTGGCCTTCGTGGAAAATCTCCACTCTGCCTTCGTGAGGGCCGCTGCCACCCACCAATCGGACTGTATTAGAGAGTCCTGTAACAGAAATAAGCAGGGTTTAATTATATAGACTATATATATATATATATATGTACATACTGCTTTATAATGCTTTTTCTTAAAAAAAAACCCCACATTTTTCCAATAAGTTCAATTATCGTAATAAATATTAAACTTTCTAGCCCCACCTATTGGTAAAGACTTTAATTGCAAACACTGTACATAATGGTCAAATCTGAAGAAATCTCTTCATTCTTGTGAATCTCTTCCAGTAACTTTAAAATTTAACAGCTACAAGTCTCTTAATGTTATAGAGATTTTATAATATTTTATAATATCATAAACATAAAAATAGACCAAATATCCCATTCTTCACCAAGATAAACAAAATAACCATAGTGACAACACTGATCTAGAAATAGCAAGGCTCTTCCTTGATACAAGGTCCCTGGATTTTATCCCAAAGTGTTTTTCTTGTTTTGTAAAAGGATTAATGAGATAGGAGTTAGACAATTTTTGTTTATTTTGAGAAACTGCTAAAGAAATAAACTTTGGGAAGAAATATACCATGTCTATAATAGTAAAAGTACTTTTGCTCTGCAATGCCTAAGTAATCAGAATTGTCATACATGCTGTAAACTTTTATAAAACCTTGATCATATGCAGCAATAAAAGTGTCTCTTTGCCTTCTTTAAAAGCAACATATACGTTTCAAACCTAAGAACAGATAGATAAATAAAGTGGATAATTAGTATTACAAAAAGTTTCACTTAAATTTAGAAAATTTCTTTAAATAACCTGTACTATTCTAGTAAGTGTTTGTTTAAGAATATTTGGCTAAAAATGAGAAAGCAGAAAAGACAGAAAAGAACTTTTAAAATGTATTTAGTGCTAAATAAAAATAACAATATTCTCTAATAATTAAAAAAGCCAATGAATTAAACACAATGCTACCTAAATATCTTTTAAAATACAAGTTTGAATAACATCATATTATAAAAGAGCACAATGTGACTGTTACAACAAAAGTATCTCTGTAATGTGAAAATGGAGTTTTAGATTATGGGTTTTCAGAACTCAATTACCTAAAGAAAAAGTGACTTTTTTCTTCTAATTTCAGTAAATTTTGTTTGAACAGTAATCTAACAATGTGTAAAGGAAAATAAGCCATTTCCTACAAGCCTGACTGAGCCACTCAGAAACAGGAAAAGCAAACAAATTAAATGTAGTATTACAATTACAATTATTTTCTTGGTTCTTCCAAAATGTTATTCAGTGCTAAATAATGAATTCATGCAATAATGCCCAGGTGCATAAGCCCTTTTCACTTAATAAACATGAGTTATAAGCATTAAAAACACTTTTAAAAAGGAAAATAGCTTGCGATTGCAGTAATCAAACTCCCAGTTACTGGGTAACCCAATTGCTCACTGTAAATGTCTAAGAAAATAGGAAATGACCCAGGAGCAGACTGTGTAAAGTTTTAAAATACTGGAGTCATGTAATAGTAATTAGTGCCACTCCCAAGTGTTTAAATTTTACACACATCAGAAATACCTAAGCACAACATGTTTACCATGATTCTATGAAAAAATAGATGTCACATTCAAACACGTGATTCTATGGGCTTGCCTTACTGCCCAAATAAGTGTACAGAAGTATTCTCATTGTGGGTTCTTTCCCCGCTTACAGCTCTGAAAGTGCCAGTAAGGAGCCTGGCTTGTCCTGGATCAGTGGTTCTCAAACTTTAGTTTGTCTTAGCTCAGACTGCTACAACAAACATACCATGGACTGAATGGGTTAAACAATATTAATTTCTCACAGTTCTGGAAGCTGGAAAGTCCAAAAAACAAGGTGCTGGCAGATTCAGGATGGGGTTTAGCCAGCTTCTTGTAGCCAGCTGCCTTGTGTCTGCTGTGCACAGGTGGCCTTTCCTCAGTGTATGTTCATGCAAAAAAAGAGGTAGAGAACAGCTCTCTGGTCTCTTCTTGCAAGGCCACTAGTAGAGGAAAACAAAACTAGTAGAATGGGAAAGACTAGAGATCTCTTCAGGAAAATTAGAGATACCAAGGGAACATTTCATGCAAAGATGGACACAATAAAGGACAGAAATGGTATGGACCTAACAGAAGCAGAAGATATTAAGAAGAGGTGGTAAGAATACAGAAAAAACTATACTAAAAAGATGTCAATGACCCAGATGACAACAATGGTGTGATCACTCGCCTAGAGCCAGACATCCTGGTGTACAAAGTCAAGTGAGCCTTAGAAAGCATCACTATGAACAAAGCTAGTGGAGGTGATGGAATTCCAGTTGAGCTATTTCAAACCATAAAAGATGATGTTGTGAAAGTGCTGTACTCAGTATGCTAGCAAATTTGGAAAACTCAGCAGTGGCCACAGGACTGGAAAAGGTCAGTTTTCATTCCAGTCACAGTGAAGGGCAATGCCAAAGAAGGTTCAAACTATCACACAACTGCACTCATCTCACACTCTAGCAAAGTAATGCTTAAAATTCTCCAAGCCAGGCTTCAACTGTACATGAACTGAGAACTTCCAGATGTTCAACCTGGATTTAGAAAAGGCAGAGGAATCAGACATCAAATTGCAAACATCTGTTAGATTATCGAAAAAACAAGAGAGTTCCAGGAAAACATCTACTTCTGCTTCGCTACGCTAAAGCCTTGACTGTGTGGATCACAACAAACTGTGGAAAATTCTTCAAGAGAGTGCCAGACCCCCTAACCTGCCTCCCAAGAAACCTGTATGCAGGTCAAGAAGCAACAGTTAGAACCAGACATGGAACAAAGGACTGGTTCCAAATTGGGAAAGGAGTATGTCAAGGCTGTATTATCACCCTGCTTATTTAACTTCTATGCAGAGAACATCATGCGAAATACTGGGAGGGATGAAGCATAAGCTGGAATCAAGCTGAAATATCAATAACCTCAAATATGCAGATGATACCATCCATATGGCAGAAAGCAAAGAGGAACTAAAGAGCCTCTCAACGAAGGTGAAACAGGAGAATTAAAAAGCTGGTTTAAAACTCAACATTCAGAAAACTATGATCATGGCAACTGATCCTATCACTTCATGGTAAAAAGATGGGAAAGCAATGGAAACAGTGAGAGACTTTATTTTTGGGGGCTCCAAAATCACTGTAGATAGTGACTGTGGCCATGAAATTAAAAGCAGCTTGCTTCTTGGAAGAAAAGCTATGACAAACCTAGACAGCATACTAAAAAGCAGGGACATTACTTTGTCAACAAAGGTCCATCTAGTCAAAGTTATGGTTTTTCCAGTAGTCATGTATGAATGTGAGAGTTGGACTATAAAGAAAGCTGAGTGCCAAATAATTGATGCTTTTCAACTGTGGTTTGGAGAAGACTCTTGAGAGTCCCTTGGACTGCAAGGAGATCCAACCAGTCAATCCTAAAGGAGCTCAGTTCTGAATATTCATTGGAAGGACTGATGCTGAAGCTGAAGATCCAATACTTTGGCCATCTGGTGTGAAGAACTGACTTATTAGAAAAGACCTTGATGCTAGGAAAGAGTGAAGTTGGGAGGAGAAGGGGAAAACAGAGGATGACATGGTTGGATGGCATCACAGACTCAATGGACATGAGTTTGAGCAAACTCTGGGAGTTGGTGATGGACAGGGAAGCCTGGCGTGCTGCAGTCCATGGAATTGCAAAGTGTCGGACACAACTGAGCAACTGAACTGAATCTCATGACAGGGACCCTACTCTCCTGATCTCACTTAAACCTAATTAGCTCCTTAAAAGTCTACTTCCAAATACCATCACATTAGGGTTTCAGTATATAAATATGAAGAGGGGGGCTCAAAGACTGTTGGTCTCACACCCAGAGTTTCTGATGCAGTAGGTTTTGAGTAGAACCCAAGGATCTGTACTTTTCACAAGTTCTCAGGGACTTCCCTGGTGGTCCAGTGGTTAAGACTTCCTTTTCCCATGCAGGGGGTGTGGGTTCAATCTGTGGTTGGGCAGCTAAGATCCCACATGCCTTGTGGTCCAAAGAAACAAAACAAATAAAACAAAACCATAATACAGAAGTAACATTGTAACAATGCAATGAAGTCTTTAAAAAGTGGTCCACATTAAAAAAAAATTAAAAAAATACAAGTTCCCAAGTGATGCTGATACTATTAGGTTCCATACTTGAAGAACCACTAACCTAAAGAAAGATCACATTATACATTTTAAAGAGAAAGCATGTTATATAAGAAGCAACTACTGATGCTTGTATTCAATCCTTTGACCTCATTTATTTCAAAAAGAATGGCTTGTAGATTTCTTCCAAATTCGCTGTGCTTGTAGGATTTTAAAGAAGATTTAATTCCTTAGTGCCAAATATGTCTGGACATGCCTATGTTTATCTCTGACTTAAATATTTTGAGTTATAAATCAATTGCTGGTAGCTGATCACACTTTGATGATCCCTGATCATCTCTGAACTAATAGAATGAAAAGAAGCAGGTCAATAGATTCATTCAAGTGTCAGTATCATACATGCAACTACTCTGTTTTGGAGAAAAGTTCATTTTATCATTTTGAAGAGCCTCAATCACAGCATGTTTCTCTATAAGATGGTAGATCAGAATTTTCCATGAATGTGGATGTAAATAATGCCTTAGCATCACACTAATATAATTAGTCAGACAGATTATTTTTTCCCCCATTGGGAAACTTTTGCCTTGTACTTAAGATTTCAGAAGAGTAACTTTTATGATTTTTTTTTCTGGGTCACTGTCTTAATTCCCTTCTTAACTTTCTTAAATGTAGATTTTTTTCTAGAGTCAAATCACAGAAACACAGATAAACACTACGTGCCCCCTGCATGACTCTCTGTATTAGTTATTACTTTGTAATTGGCTAAAAACAGAAACACAAATCAAAATGGGGAAAATCTCCCCGTGTCAAAGACCATAGGATTATCTCGGAACTCAGTGATGCGAGAGTAGTCAGGCACCAGGACCAGCTAAATCAAGACTTGAACCTCCTCAGGACTCTCGC